GGCTGGGTTAATGCACACCACCGAGACTGTCGGCCGCTCCTGTGCGCCTCTCCGTGCGTCGCAAAATTTCAGGAATTGGATTCTTATTTCTGTCACAGGAACGGGAATGCGCCCTTTGTCTCTTTTTGCCGCCCCTCGTCCGCCGCTTTGCGCTGCCAGGATACCGCTTTCCGTACCGCCCGCTGGCAGGATTTCCTTTCGCCCTTTGGTAACTGCCGCTGCCACTGCCGCTTCTGCGATTTGGACGAAACGATGATGGTAGCCGGTTAGCTGCCGGTCCTTAACCCGCAGAGGCATCACCAGATCAGGTGGTTTAATGCCGCGTGTTGCTATCGGAGTGCGAGTCAAGGGCCCCGTGCGAGTCTAGGCTTCAATAGCCTGTTTAGGACTTTGGCTATCACCAGGTCGAACGGTGTGATGGAGGGGAAGTGGCAGCAGACGGCGGCGGCTCCCGGGGGGCCCCCATCCCACAGCAGCTGCTCAGGCAAGTGGTTGAGTGGTATGCCGCCTCAAGATCTTGAGAGCGCTTGGGAGGCCCTTCGTCATACATACTTACATGCATACATACAGCCCTGATGGGGGTCCCCCTCCGCCCTCCGCCCTCCACCCCCATCAGGCTGCCTGTACTGCCTGCCCGTCTCAGCTCCTTGCTGCTGTCCCCCCAACCGACGCCGCGAGCTGTCAGGACATCACCTAAGAAAGACCACCCGACTGGAAAGCGCGAAACCTTTCTTGCAAACACACTCATACGCATATACACACATACGCATATACACACATACGCATATACACACATACACACATACGCATATACACACATACGCATATACACACATACGCATATACACACATACACACATACGCATATACACACATAAACACATACACAAGCGCTTTCCAAGGAAATACAGACACGGCGAGTCAAATCCGCCGCAAACACGCGCGAGGATGCAAAGTAGTCCCTGTAGAACACCCGCACTGTATCCCCGTCGCACACGGCCTTCCATTACCACACCGACCCCGCTCGCCGCGCAAAGGGATGCCGTAACCTGTCAGGAACGTGCATAAAATTATTTTTATTAGCTTAAAACTACAAAAAAGGTACCAAAGAGTACAGAGGTTAGACGCAGTTCCGGCCTCAGTCGCAGCGGTCAAGAGGTCTAGGAATCTCGGAAGGGCCCCTCCGCCGCCTCCTACCTGCCAAGCTCCACTTGCCACCTCACACGCCCCCAACTTCCATCCCCCCTTTCCCTTCCCCACAAACACAGACCTGTCAATTGATACAGACCGACCGACGGGCCGACGGGCGCCAACCTTTACCGCTCCTGGCGAATGTCAAAAAGACTTTAGTCCGATAAAAGACGAGTTTCTAAAACGTGCATCAGTACGACAGTACGCGATGTTCGGCGACTCTTGTAGTACCTTCCCTCTGCTGCAGGGAATGGTTCCCATGCGGGGTTTGGGTGGGTCTGTCTGGGGGTGTTTGGGGGGTTTATCCAGTGCCCTGTGCGCCACCACCACAGCAGCCCGGGAAATGTTCCATCTCTCCACCTCTCCCTTCTGCCTGCGCCAACCCAGACACACTAAGGTCCACTTTACCTTTCCCCCAAAAAACACGCAGCACCCAGCACCCCCACATGCAGCTTCTTGTAGCTTCAACTCGGAAGTACTTGGCCAATGCAGGCGTACATACATACATACATACGCACCTCGCCGCATAAAATTCCGCTTCGCAGATCGCACGCTCAGCACGCGGAGCACATTGCTCGGGAAGAATGGTCAAGTAAAGGCGGCACAGCACCGCACAGCACGCAGAGTGACTCAAGCCACGCTTTTACAGCCCCCCCCTGCATGCCGCAATTCCCCCAACCCCCCGCCCCAATAACCGTTCTCATGTGAACTCCACTCATGCGCGAACCTTATTACGTTTGAAACACACAGACATACACACACATATAATACATACATACCTTCTACAGAATACTCCCCTGCCTAAGGAAAGAGACACCAATGCACAGAACTACAGACAGATGCACAACCAGGTGCATGCGTGTGAATGGGAGCCGACCGCGGGTGGATTGCGGGTCTGGGTGGTCGGTGGGACAACCTATGCGTGTGCGCGAGGAAAAGGGTAATTGTATGTGTGTATGTATACATGTATGTATGTATGTATGTATGTATGTATGTATGTATGTGAGTGTGAATGTGAGTATGTGTGGGTACCTCACTCGCGCACGCGCGCGAGGGAGCGGAAAGCGAAAGGCCGGGCAGCACGCTGCAGTTGTACGGCAGAATCCGAACCCATGAACACATCCGTACAGCCGTACGCATCTGTCACAACAGCGCCCGCATGGTCCATATGACCTGCGCGCTTCACCACACGCCATGCGGCATGTGCAGAGCACACTCATTTATTTAAAGCTACAGCCGCTACCACCTCAACCAAAACTACCGACACCCTTCTAGGCCGCTACTACGACGTTTCCTGAACACCTAACAAAAATACGGTGACACCGTACTCGCAGGCACCTGCACGCTCGTTCATTCGCCCCTCCTATCACCACCACGCCTCTTTCGGGCGCGGTAATTCAATCAGGTATTGTATCGGCCACAAGAAGGTCAAAAGAAATTAAATTAATATATGGATAACTGAAAACCGCGATGGTGATTCTTGCTCACCGTCTTAACCTCCAGATCACCCGCCAGCCCAAGCGGCGAAAGCCCGGCTGCTAATCATCCCGTGACCCCTACCCGCCACGCAGCCGCGCCCTAGCGCGCCAACTGCCAAAACCCGCCACATCCCCCGCCACGACCAGAGCGGATAGCTCCAGCCCAGATGTGCCTCTCTCACCCCCCCTGGGCAGCTCCTCGACTGCCGACCTCTCCGCTGGGGAGGGCACTCCCTCTCCTGCCGGCCCCCCCCACGCACATACAAAAGGGGCCCACCACATCCCCCCCAAAAACAACGCGACGGAGGGAAAACCACACTCGTACATACACAGCTGCTGTTCCCAACACAAACAAAAACACCCGGTTGGGGCGCAGCCCCGCAGCAAAACCCGCGGCTTCTATCCTATTCCCAGTTTCCCCTCCCCCCTTTTCCCGGCCCTTCAACTACCCAACATTACACATCTTACCACATCTTCCCCCCTCACTTCCGTACAATAATAAAAACCCCAAAACCGCTTACCCGGCCCCCATCCTACGGCAGCCACGCGTACCAGTCGCTCTCTGCCCTCCCACCCAACCCCCCATTGCCGCAATAGCGGCCCCCCACTCCCACCGAGGGAAACCCGTACACCCGGACAAAACCCCAACAGACCCAACAGTGCGGAACCCCGTGATGCTCTAAAAACGTCACCTTCACCACTACACCACCACCACCATCACCACCACCACCATCACCACTACACCACCACCACCACCACCATCACCACTACACCACCACCACCACCATCACCACTACACCACCACCACCACCACCACCATCATACACCTCTATGCGATTCCACCGCCTGACTCGTAACTCGGGGTTACACGCAGGGAAGCTTAGACGTACACACAGGACGACACGACCGCCGTTACGACTGGTAAATTAAATGTTGCTGTTCCTGCCATTGACTATATGAATAGCGCAACTGGCTGCCCCATCACTCCAAGGTGCCATCAAGGGACATCACGGGCCCCGTTGGGGGTTGACCGCTTTGCGCGGCAGCACCCATCGCCCAGCAACAACAACGACCTCAACTACCTCAACTAACATGGCACACACGCCACCGTGCAGCGCACATACATACATACAACATACGTACATACATTCGTACAACCCCCCAACAATTAAAGGAAAGGGAGCCATTTCGTCCACTCCACCGTCAATAGTAGACCGATTAGACCACCGCCACCGCCACCGCCACCGCCACCACCACCACCATCAACAACAGCAACCTCCACCACCGCGACCGGGCGCTCCGGAGCAGATCGCAGGACCTGTTGCACCAACAGCGCCGCCAGCGCGCCATACCGCCGTCTTCAATGTCTTTTCGGGTGTGCGTGTGGGTGGGTGCGTGTGTGTGGATGTGTGCGTGTGTATGGAGGGGGAGGGTGTGTGTGGCGGGGGAGGGTGTGTGTGTGGGGGGGGGAAGGGTGTGTGTGGGGGGGGTTGGACGTGTGTGGGTGTGTGGGTGTGGGTGTGTGGGTGTGTGGGTGTGAGGGCTTACGAATGGGAAGGGTTGCGCCCAGAGAGGGTGTGATCAGAAACGCGACCAACAGACAGACAGACAGACATGCGGTCCGGCTTCCAAACACATCTCCCAAGCCCGTACAGCTGCACCGACATACACACAAACAGCCCTGCACTCCTCGCTCTCCTTCCTGTCCTTCTGGCCTCCCCCACCCCTTTTCACACACACACACACACGCACGCAGACACACACACATAGCCCCTCAATGACAACCACAACCACAAACCGCTTCCAAGCGCATGTAAAGTCCCCCCCTCTCCCCCTTCCCCCCTCCCCCGCCACGAGCCCTCACTGCGGCGCCAGTCGCGACCGCGCCCGACCCGACTCCCCCCCCCGCGGCGCCGCGTGGGACCCCCCAACGTGAGCGCACTGTCCGCCACTGCTTCCAACACCAACGACACCACCACCGCTGGTGGTGGTGGTGGTGGTGGTGTTGCCAAAGCCGCCGCCGCCGCCGACACCGCTGCCCAAATCCGCATACCCCTGCGCTGAGCCGCGTCGGTGTGCCGACACCGACTGCTGCAAACTCCTAGCGCCTTGCGGGTGCTGGTGCGGGTGCGGGTGCACACCGCCCACACCGCCGCGGTAGCCGCCGCCGCCACCACCACCACCCGGGTCATCCGGATCCCCTTCCCCTCCCCCCGGGGGGCCCCCCCCTGCGCCTTGGGCCCCCCCCGGCGCGGCTGACTCGGGCGGCATCAGCTCCATGAGCGAGTTGGATCTGGTGTACACGATGCGCACGGAGGAGCGGCGTTGGAACATGGTGATCCAGGGGTGGTGCAACATCTCCAACACGGTGAGACGGGAGGTGGCGTCCTGAGGGGGGGGAGGAGGGACGGGGAGGGGGACGGGAGGGGGAGGGGGAGGGGGGGAAATCAGGGGGGGGGAAAACACGTAGAGGTGCCAGCTGGCTGCCGGAGTCCCGCAGTTCATCAGCGAAACTGCCCGTCCTAGGTGGGCTGGGGAAGGGCGGGAAGGGGGGGACAATGGGGGGGCCAATGGGGGGCCCGGGCCACCAACGCCGCAGTTCGGAACGAGGGTGTGGAGGGCCCCTTGCTGATCAACACCCGCCGCAACGTGCCCATAAGTGGGGGGGAAGGGGGGAAGGGGAAGGGAAGGCTCAGCACACCATGCGCGTGTGGAGTGCAGCCCTCTCCCCTTGACTCCTCCTCACACACGCACACACACATTTTCCCCCACCTCCTTCCTCATACCCCCCTACCCCACGAACATACGCACAGACACACATCTTACAAGACAATAAAAAGAGAAAAACAGCCCCACCCGGGGTGTTCTCAGTCACAACGGACAACTGCCACAACAACTCCTGCCAACTACCAACCCCCCAACTACAACCCCCCCAGCCAGGGGTACCTTGTGCAGTGCCCTCATGATGAAGTCCTTGGCCAGGTCGGACACGGTCTCGGGGAAGCTGACAGGGGCGTGCATGATGTTGCGAGCCGTGTCGATCATCTGAGCGGCCTTGAAGGGGGGTGCTCCGACAATCAGTTCGTACGCAAACACCCCCACGGCCCAGGCATCCACCGCCTGGTGGTAGTGGGCGGACTCCGGGTTGCCCTTGTTCTCGTCAGGGGTCTTCTTGGTCGGGCAGCGGAGAACTGCCCGGGGGGGTGGGAAGGGGGGTTGAAGGGGTCAAGGAAAAGCTCGGTTCCGGTGTGTGTGTGTGTGTGTGTGTGTGTGTGTGTGTGTGTGTGTGTGTGTGTGTGTGTGCATGTGTGTGTTTGGGGTGGAAGGGGATACGTGCACGATTCCTGTTGACCCAGACCGCACGTGAGTGGTTGCGGGAGGAGGTGGGGAATCGCGGGGTTTAATCGCCATTGCGGGCGTCCCCTCCCCCGCCTCATCCTAATACACACACGATCACACGGCGTCGACCCCCTCAACCCCCCAGCCCCCTCACCCTCGGGGGCCATGTAGTCCAGAGTGCCTGTGCTGAGTGCGGAGTAGGGAGGGGGCCCCGGAGGTGAGGGAGGGGAGAGGTGAGCAGCCGAAGAAGGGACACGAGGGGACAACACGATCACGGAAAGGTTACGGGTATTGCCGTACGAGCCCAAGGCGGGAAAGTGCTGCAGTGTTTCTCCCCTCCAGCTACACCCGCGAATGTGAACCCCCGGGGGGGAAAGAGGGGAGAAGATGGACGGAACCGCTGCACGAGGGGAGGGGAGGGAGGCGGAGGAGAAGAACGGGTTGCGAATAATCCCAAGCCTCCCAAGCAGAAAGGGACGCGAGGGGGAAAGAGGGGGGAATGGAGGGTATACACGTGCCGTACAACAAAGACCAACACATGAGGTATTGGTAATCCGAGTAAAGACCATTTCCAACTGTCTCCAACCTCTTACCCGGGCCCTATACACATATACATACACATACACATACACATACACGCACTCGGCCCGGCCCCCCCACCCGCTCGCGTGTTTGCCCTCTCCTCCCGCAGGCTGATGGCCAGACCGAAGTCCGCGAGTTTGAGGATCTTGCCCTCCGCGAACAGCACGTTCTCGGGCTTGATGTCGCTGAGGGGGCCGACGGGGGGTGTGAGAGGCGGGGGTGAGAGGGGTTGCGAGGCAGGGGTGAGAGGCGGGAAGTGATTGGTCGGGGCCTGGGAGGTAGCCGAGGGGTTGGGGGGGAAGTCACAGAGGACGTGGGGGTAAAACACACACGAGCGGCGAGATGGCGCTGGAGGACGGTACGCGGATAAATATTTATACACAGATACATGTACACATACATACGCATATACACATACGCCTGTGGAACAGCAGCCACATGCGCAGGACACAACCCGGCGCGGGGCCCCTTCTGGACCCTCTCCCCCCTTCTTCCCCTCCCCCCCCCCACATACCGGTGCACAATCCCCAGTGTGTGCAGGTAGTGCAGCGCGGTAAGGAAGGGCTGCAGCACCAGGTTCACGGCCTGCCGCTCGAACAGCCGCCCGCCGCACTTGTACATAATCCGGAGCAGGTCGCCCCCGGTGGCGTACTCCGTCACCAGAATGACACGTTGCTGCTCCTGAAGGGGGAGGGGGGTGGGCGGGGGTGCGAGGGATACGAGGGGGAGGTGTTTGCTGGGTGCGGGGGAAGGGGGGGGGGATGTGTTTCTGGAAGCCACGCAAGGAGGCGGCGCGGATGGGGTCTTCCCGGCCCGGCCCCCTCCTCTCCATCAGCGTCCCCCCGCGGGGGGAGAAAAAGGGGTGGCACGAACCCAAGAGAGAAGGTCCACGCGGCACCCCTCCCAGCCAGCCATATGCAGCCGCCCTTCCATCCCCCACCTCAACTTACCAGAAAGCACGCGTAGTACTGCACAATGTTGGAGTGTCTCAGTCGCGCATGCAGCTTGATCTCCCTGTACAGCTGCATGCGCTGAATGTCCCCTTGCTCGGACAGCTTGTACACCTTCAGGGCGACCATCTCGCTGCTGATCTTGCAACGGGCCTGAGAACGGGACGGGGAAGGGAAGGGGGAGGGAGGGGGG